TAGCCTAGGACCTACATTTTACTTCACTGTATATAGTTACAGACACTCTTATTGTATATAAGCGTTTTAAATTTAACTTGAACACATAAACCCTTACTTAAAGCATAAATAACTCTTCCCAACTCCCCAACTTGATTTTTGAGCTTTGGTTAAATGTAGCTAAGATCATATCCAAGAGTAATCCCTAGCAAGTAAACGCCGCCGCCATAATAAGGAATGTAGATAAAACAGGGGATAGTGATACACGGATAACTCCAAAACGCCGTTGAGCTATGTGAATATGTGTCAAAACAGAAAAGAAACCCCGCAGTAAGATAATGAACGAAATCCGATAATCACATCATACGACAAGTTCCGGAAAATCGGCGCTTCTTTTCTTTCGGCAGGTCAGCTGCTGGGGTTTCGTCGGGCTTCTCGGAGGGGGGAGCAACAACGGGAGACACCTCCGGGACGGTGCTCAATTCCGCGTTCTCGACCTCTCTTAGAGACGTGGATGGGGAAACGTTCTCGCCATTTGGGGAACGGGTTGATTTATGTGTGCACTGTGTGCAGGTCCCCGCAAGGGTCTGCCCGCTACAATTACTGCATGTCAAAGAGACATCGTCACTGCTTGTGGCCTCGGGGACTGGAGACACATTTTGACTTCGAACTGGTGCGCTTACTGGTCTTACCTGACTATGCAGGTTTAGATGAGGACCATGTAGCTGGCTCATCGCCAAACGGTCTACGTCTAGACTGGAGGGGCGTGTTGTGGTTGGAGTGTTAGCAGCAGATGGATAGCGCGAGCCGGCTCGGCTGCCGGGCAGGCTTTCGGGAGGTAGGAAGTGGACTATACGATCAACGCTGAGAAGGTCTAGATTTGGGTTTTCGTCGTTGATACGGGTAGTGACGCCACTAGGACTTCCGAGATCCAAGTCGGGGGCGTCTACATTAATTTCTATACCAACTTCGGCTTCGGCCTCGGCTTCTGCTTCAGCTAATGTCTGCGCAAACTTCGACCACCTGCGCAGCCAGTGTCCGTATATGTAGACGACGATCAGGGATAAGAACAAGACAGCTCCTATCGAGGCGAGTACGAGAGTTCCGGTAAATATGGTCATTGTCTCGTACCTATTTTATTTGTCAAGAACATGTTTAGCTAGGCTTATTACTTCAAGTAATAAGGGGTTGGGAGTAGAGGAGAGAGAAGAAGGACGGAGCTAGAGGAACATACTATAGAATATTAGCTTTTAGATTCATCACATCAGGGTAGCTATTATAGTACTAACCATAGGAACAGCGTAAGGTGTCAGTACACCGGCAAGAAAATCCCTTGCCCATCCGTTGCCACCTGTGGCAGATGCAGCGTAAGGGCCGTAGGCTCTAAGCACATAATCGATAGTGCCCATGTAAATGGCGAAGTTAGCGATGCCTATCATACAGGAGGCGATCATACTGAATATCCAGTGAAGAGGGGGTTGAGTATAAGCAGCCGTAAAAGCAAAGAGGAGAAGTCCGAGGGGCAGCAGGGGTGCCGCAAAAAGAAGCCAAAAGAGTCGAGCCTCGTACTGCGCTCGTTCGCAGAGCGGTTTTCTCTCGCGCAGGGCAATCTGGCGTCCGATGAAGTAGTAGGCCAGAGCATATCCAATCATGTATCCAATTCCAATAGGTAGGAATGTACAGCCGAGCAATATAGGACCAAATCCCCATTGCCAATATACGAAGCCGAAAGATTGAACCATCACTAGGAGGAAGAGAGAGTCAGTCCTATCAGTATCTAAATAAATACATATATGAACCAATCCAGCACTACTAGGTACAGATACACATATGGTAATATATCCGAAAAAAAAACACTGATTTGCGCAAATAGAAAATACGAAGACTAAGTCAATCACTAAGAAACTATATATGAACTTACTAAAGATGATAGCGTCCGAGAATCCCGATAGCAGCGAGAAGACTAAGACGATGGGCTCCGTGAAGAACATCTTGAAAGGCCGCAACCAAATCTTCCAAACCTCAGACCAGTTGATGCGTCGGTCCCCAGAAATCTCGTTCGGGCCGTACAGCGAGGGGTTTACTCCGGACTCGCGCATCTCCCTAGCGGCCCTATCCATAACGATAGTCGTTCGCGTCTCGGGGACAACAAAGTAGTGGAGGAGCTGCACCATTATACCGAAAATTACCTGGATCCAGATGACCCAGCGCCAGGACAGATACGCCTCGATGATGCCGCCGAATATGGGACCGAGGATGGACCCGCCGACGGACGAGAACACGATGAATCCCGTGGCGTGCTGGTGCTCCGCGCTGTGCGGGTCAAACATATCTGTGATGAGGGCAAGCGTGACACTCCCCCCGGCGCTGGAAAGACCACCTAGAGTACGCCCGATGACATGGCCATACCAGGTCGGCGAGATACCTACCAGGATAGCCCACATATTGACTAAGAACAGCGAGGCCTGCAGGACGTTTCGACGGCCGTACTCCTCGGACCACGGGGCCCACAGCTCGCAGCCGAAGGCATAGGCGATGAGGAAGGAGGCGGCGCCGCCCCAGCGGACCTGGAAGTAGCTGAGGCCGTACTCCTCGGCGATGCCGGCGATGCCGTTGGAGTAGAGCGTCGTGTTCAGGTTCATGGAGACTTGCACGAGGAAGATGACGCAGAGGATGTACCACTTGTCCTTCTTGGGCCAGCAGATGGGCAGCTTGTCGCTGCAGTCGGACGGCTTGATCAGCACGCGCGAGAACTCGCTGCGGGAGTCGCGTCTGGAGCGCGTGCTGGCGCGGCGCCAGCGCAGCGTGCGCATGATCGGGTTGTGGTGCCGCGCGATGTGCTCCTCCTCGTCATTACGGACGTGGCTACGTCGCGGTCTGGGAGCACTGTTGTCTGGGCCGGGGTTAGCATGGTCTTGTTGCGGTATTATCTCCCGCAGCCGGGCGGCGAGGTCCTGGAGGGGGAAGGGTGAGGAGCTGGGAGGTGGTGATGGGCGTGCAGGCGACATTGTTGAAGATGCCGTTGCGTGTTGAAGTGAGCAGCGAGTTGGTGGTTTATGAGTGAGTTGGAACCGATGAATGGCAGCATTTCATAGCGGTTTATCTCTTTTCCTGAATTCTTACTACTATCGTAAAACCTTTTTTTTCTTTCTGTCTTTTCTTTTTCTCGAAATAATAATAACTTCTCAGAAGAGAGAGAAAGATTGTTGAATACGAGAATCGAAGTTGGGGTGGTCCGGTGCGATGTTTATAAAGGCCCGGCTATTAACCTCTCAACCCCCTTCTAAGTCCAAGACCCGAGGGGATCTTTTCAATAGTTACCTCACTTACGGCTTGTATCGAGGGGTATTAAGTTCACTTGCGTCTTGAGTTTAGTTTAGCTTAGCTTACGGCGTGTGCGCCAGGTGGTTGTGCCTGAGGGGGGGTGTAGTATGGACCGGACAAGTTTCGAAACCGGAAGTGAGGCACTTCGGGTTGCCTGTCCACACACCAAAGCTTGCTATGGTTTGGGCAATACGAGAGGTCTAATGTGAGAGCCTCAAACACCGTTAGGAGGGTAGCGGCACTTAGCGCTCACGAGATCGAAATTTGTAAACTATATGACGTTCCATTTTGGGGGGCTCTAGAGCATCTGATGCAGTTACGATGCTCAGGGGTATGGCTAGGGCCTTTGGAAAATCGTGGTTCTCCTCCGTCGCTATAAACTCTATTCCGTAGCATCGAAATGCCTTGGTTTGGTTCTAGTACTTTTGGTAGTTTACGAGAAATGTGGTAATTACCCGTAGAATTCATATGCTACCATTTCACTTTACATTTATTTCTATCGTCGTGTTTTATCGGCGAAAACATCGCTTTAGAAACCTTCAACCACTGAAGCCATTCCCTATGAGTGGCTCGACAACTTAGTTCACGATGGATCTGCACAAAGTTGGCGATCAACTAGCTGGGTTGACGATACTTCCACATCAGGTCTGAACCGAGTCAGATCCGAGCGGAGTAGAAACTTTCTTTTCCACGTTACATTAAAAGTCGTTCGATAAAACTACGGTAAGAATATAAAGTTTATTTCGAGAATAAAGCACCAAGGGTCCAAGCTTGGTTGTTACATTAATGATCACATTTCCAACCTTTATTTGTTTTCTGGAGTGTACTGATTTTATACCTGGAACTTCTTCTATCGACTGAGGGTTTCGTATAATTCTAGAAGACCGTGCCTCTATACAGGCGCTTCTACATCGGACATCGTTTATAAGATCAACCTGGAAAAGGAAATTTTGAATACTCATCGTATAAGGTTGTTAAGCACTCTAGGTATCTATACACTATTCACCACCACCATCAGGTTACGCATTTCACTATGGTGGCACTAAATTTGTAGAGAAGGGCTGGGTAGTGGACGCTTATTTGATGGCTTGTTACGTGATATCTATCTGTTATATCTCTTAGGTACTGTACCTAGGGTACATATCAACCTCAACTAGCGAAGCCAAAACGATCTACGCTATGATCATTCCGTATCTCCAAACTCTAACGGAACAGCTTCGGTTGACCATGGACTTGGTAAGTCTTGTAACGTTTGAAGATTGTTAGTAATAGAGAAACTATAAAACAGCACATTCTCGCTTTAATCTAAAAAGTAGTCATTCCTATGTGTATAGCCGGTTTATTCGTGTCTCTTAGGAGCCCCTTTCGTCTGCGCTGATTATCCACTGCTTGAAACTTGAGGCTCGTGTGCATCCTTTCTGTGAGGTAAAGCATCCCATCCCAATAACGAAGTATAGTGCTAGGTATCGCAACGTAGCAACAGGAGTTATATCTGGATTATTCTACTTGCGGGCAGCTCACTATTCTATCCAGTCATTAATAATAAAGCTGTTGCTGATATTAGAATGACCACTTAAGGGAAATGACTCTGACTGAACGAGAGTCTGCGTCGCTAATTGGAGATTAGGAAGTTTGATAACCGTATCCCTTGTCGGGAACCCGTAAATATTTAGAGCTATGTTTGGATGATATTCTCGCTATAACGTTTCAATATCAAGACCACTGACCCTACCTAAGAACTCCCCCTTAGCACCACGTAGCAGCTCATCCATATCTATCATACCGGTCGCGATATACCTCTCACTCACGCCAGCATTGACTCGCTTGGAGAGGAGCTCTCTTAGTTCGGCGCGCAAAGCCCCTAGCTCGGCCTTGGTCATAGCTCTCGCTTGGTCTTGCTTCTCTTTCCGACCACCCCCTCGTCCTCCCCACTTGCCGACCTGCTGTATTTCGTCGCTATCATATTCCACGCCTAGCTCGTCTGCTGCGTTTCGCATCCAGTCATCCTCCTTGCTTCCTTTCTCCTTTGCAAGTCCCGCGTCGGCAATTTTCTTGGCTAGCGTGACGCGCGATTTCAATCTGTTAACTAGCTTTCGGTCCATATCTAATGTCTGCACGAAGAAGTTCTTCCTAGACCCCCTATCAATGCTCGAGTGCACTTTCGCGATGAGCCGTCGGGTAGGGACAACTTCTTCGGGCGAACAGAGAAGTATACTCAAACCCGTTTTGTCTGCACGCGCAGTACGTCCAGACCTGTGTACGTAGACGTCCGCAGCTCGAGGAACGTGGTAATGAACTACCAAGTCGACGTTAGGAATATCTAAACCACGGGAAGCGACATCTGTTGCAACAAGGATAGATGACTGTCCTTGATTTGTGCCGGTGAACCGTTCAACTGAGCGTAGACGCGCCTTTTGAGGCATTTGAGAGTGGAGCGGGTTGGTCTGGAGATTTAGATTTTGAAGCATAGGGGCTAATCTTCGGACTGAACTGATGGAATTGGTAAACACAAGCGTCCGCACGTTTGGATATAACATCAAAAGTGCGTATAGGTAGAGATCCTTATAACAGTTAGCAGGTATTCCATTTCTTAATCTTATGAAACTCACCTTCTCCATCGCGCCACATTCCACCAACCCTTCTTTAAGCCCTTCAGCCATTTGAGATACCGGATTAACGTCGATAAACTTGGGCTTCTCTTCCCGGAAGTTCAATTTTTTCAGTAAATACTCCATGGAGTCCTTCTCGCTCATTAAGTTGGATCGTCCTTTACCAGCCAATTTTTGTTGTAGACCTTTGTGAAATGTTGCCGAGAATACAAGAGTTTGTCTCGGCGAAAACGTAGCTTCTTCCTCTTCATTTTCATCCTCTTCAACTCGGTCTAGGGCATTGAAAATTTCAGCAGCTTCTTGGAAATGACCTTCTGTTAAGAGTCTGTCTGCTTCGTCTACTACGAGATACTGGATCTTTTTGAAGTTACTCGTCAGTTCCGAGCTAGAGCTCAAGACCTCCCATAGTCGGCCGGGAGTTCCAATGACGATATCTGCCTTGGCTAGCTGGCGCTGTTGTTTATAAACTGATAAGCCACCGGTTACCGAGCATATGTAGGGTGAATTCGGTAAGCCGGCACAAAGGTTCTTGATGTGCTCCGTGAGTTGATGCGCAAGTTCTCTAGTCGGTGAAAGGACCAAGGCAAGTGGAATCTTAGAGGCATCCTGAGAAACGTCGTCGCTGTCCGATAATTCCAGCCACTTCTCAACAATTGGAATACCAAATGCCAGTGTTTTACCTGAACCTGTCGAGGCTTTACCGATGACATCATGGCCAGCTAATATTTGAGGTATCGTAGCTGCTTGTATACGAGTAGGTTTCAGGAATTTCAATTTAGCCAGAGACCCAAGAATACTAGGAGATAGATCCAACGAGACCCATGCAGAAATGTCGACCTCATCTTGCGTTTCATCCACAGCGTCCATTCCAGCAAAGATATTAGTCTCGAGCTCCGGATCCTTGATCTGTTTTGAATCTTTTTTTTTCTGTTTCTTTTCCGCCTTTGCGCCTTCTTTCGGAGTAGTCTTTGTCTCCGATTTTGTATCGTCATCGGCGTTCATTGGATTAGGTGATGCGCTTCCTGAAATAGCTTGCGCTAATGGCTCATCGTTGAATCCTTCAAATTCTTCATCGCTCTGTACCGCATCACTCTCTTCCTCTCCGTTTTCTTCGTCAGCTGAATGCACGGCAGCTCTCTATTTCCTATCAGTGCCCGAACTGCCAAATTGTCAAGGGTTCATATACAAATTCAACAGTATTGCCATTTCGAATAACTTCCACATCGTCAACCTCCTCCAAGCCGTAGAAACCCTCGGAATCGTTGAACATATCGGGTAGCTTGGCTTTGCGCCATCGTAAAGAGTCGGCAGTAATACGTTTCTTCGCTTTCGACTGGGTGGATTTTCCGGTAGGTTGGCGGGCCTTAACCCTTTTTTCTGCGGGTGTGCTCGATGTTTGGCTAGTCGCCTTCCTTTTCTTTAACCCGTTCATGATGTTAGGAGAATTAGGTGGCGTAGATGGTTGGTATCAATTGCTCGTTGCTATTAGAAAAATGCTGGAAATTTTTGGGATCGCTGTCCAAGAGGTAGGTACTTATCAAAGTTATCTTATCGATTAACTAACTATTTTTCTTAAAAGCTGATAAGAGACTAGGTTAGCGCATTGGCCACACCTTAACTCAGCCCTACAAACAACTTTAACAGCCCCAATTCTTACTGCAAAAAATTGTAAGTAGAACCAATATAGTTCTATATAATTCACGTGGATCTTACAGCAGGATCATCTAGCCTGATAAACCATAATGGGAAAATCTTCTAAGGATAAACGTGATGCTTATTATAGACTCGCTAAAGAGCAAGGGTGGCGAGCGAGGAGTGCTTTCAAACTATTACAGCTTGACGAAGGTTAACCCCTCCCCCCTTAATCGAGAGGAAATTCTTGAAAGGATACTAATCGGGGAATAGAATTTGATCTCTTCGCCAATGTAACTCGAGTTGTGGACTTATGTGCTGCACCTGGTAGTTGGTCGCAAGTCCTATCTAGGGTTTTAATTAAAGGAGAGAAATTCGGTCGAGCAGCTTGGCAAGATCGCGATGCTAGATTCCGTCAACAGATGCTGGGACTCTTCGGCCCTCTACCCACCGCAAACAAACCAGAACCCTTAAGTTCACAGCAACCATCCACCGTGCTGAATCCTCGTCAAGATGTCAAGATTGTCTCAATCGATTTACAGCCTATTAGTCCATTACCAGGGATTGTCACGCTACGAGCTGATATTACTCACCCGGCTACTGTTCCGTTGCTTCTAAAAGCGTTGGACTCTGAATACGACTCGAAAACTAAGAGTCAACAGGCTGCTCATCCGGTTGACCTAGTACTTAGCGATGGTGCCCCTGACGTAACCGGGTTGCATGATCTAGATATTTATGTGCAATCACAGCTTCTCTTCGCAGCGTTAAACCTAGCACTATGTGTCTTAAAGCCCGGAGGGAAGTTCGTTGCAAAGATCTTCAGGGGAAAGAATGTGGACGTACTCTACGCACAGCTCAAAATATTTTTCGAAAAAGTTCATGTTGCGAAGCCAAGATCTTCGCGAGCGAGCAGTGTGGAAGCATTCATCGTGTGCTTAAATTTCCAACCTCCCAAAGGATTCTCGGCAAGCCTTGAGGAGCCGCTTGGCGTTGGTTTCCGCCTATCGAAAATGACGGAGCAGAACTCTGCGGTATTACCCGTTACCGCAAAGACTATTCTACAAAACCCAGAAACGGGCGCATGGAATAATACACCAGCATTTATTTCAGCAACAGATAAGGACGGTATCGCCGAAATTCAACTAGAAGATCACCGTCCGAAATATGAAGGAGATGTCAGATGGATTGCACCTTTCATTGCTTGCGGCGACTTATCTGCATTTGATTCTGATGCTTCATATCGCCTCCCACCAGACCATGTCTCCCTAGACCCAATTCAACCACCAACTGCACCGCCATATAAACGTGCTCTGGAAATGAGAAAGGCATTCGGGGGCGCCTACGGAAAGACAAGCAAGGAATGAATAGAGAATCCCTTGAGCCGCGCTAGACATGCTTTGGATGCTGAGCTGCAGGCCCCTCAATCAACCCGATAGAAATGCCTTTCGTGTCACACTCGTGCCAGTCCTTAGCGCCGAGGTATTTGCGATATAGATCCATCGTATCGCTAGTCAAGAACATAAATCGCCGCAGATGAGTCCAACCTTGGATGACTTCGTTGAGACACTCCATCATCCAACGGCCGAGTCCTTTCCCCTGATATTCAGGCAAGATGTATACATCAGTGAGATATGCGAATGTGACATCGTCGGTCACCACTCTCACAAGTCCAACTTGTTTGGGACTACTTTGGCCTGTAAGGTAAATAAGCTGAGGCTCTACAGATAATAGTCTGAAAAATAACTTACCAGCCATCTCCGAAGTTGATTTGGGAAGCACATATAGTCCAAGACACAAAGAATTATGGAGTGCCTTTTTGACCATGTCTCGTGGTAGCCCTTGTGCCCACCACATCAGATCCGAACTCAAAGCTTCGTTTACTGCATCGACTTGAACGAGCAATGGTTCGGTTGAGATTAGAAACTCATCTCTATACCAATTCTGAGGTACTGTTTCGAGGACCATTGTGATGATTTCGGATTCAAATGGTATACTTATCCGCTTAATTTTATAACAAACACCAGACAATAAATATGATTATTTAAATCAGTCTTAGGTTAAGTTTGAATTAGTCACAGACTAAATTCCAAGGCCGAGACGGCGATATATGAATCATATTAAACTTAGCGCCCCTCCCCCACGTGATAATTAACGTAGACTCTGAGGAGTAGCCAATAAATTTAACCAATGGCCAGTAGCCATACAGAAATGCTGGCATCGATTATAAACTCTTATCTTTACATAAGGTAATCCGTAGCAGTACTATTTCTTACAACAACAACAAAAAAATAGAAAACATCAAGTTATCAGAGTACTAATTTCAAAGACGAATACCAATTATTATACCCCCACCGCTCCAGCATGTTTGGGTTTCGCCTGTGAATTAAAACCTTGCCAGACGATATCTTTCGAATTCAACCCCCAAGCCGTCGGGCTATCATCGTGGACTGTTGTTCGCCTCATGTCACGCTTGAATTTACCTTCAAAGGTACCACTACCTGCTCGGTGCAGCACGCATCGGTTGTCCCAGATAACTAAATCACTAGGGTTGTTCCACTGCACGGTGGTGGTGTATTTCTTTTGCGTAGCATGCTGGTTGAGTCGTTGGACCAGGTCCCAGGAGTTTGGGATCTCCCTGCCGTTCTCTTCAATATGGTGCAAATGAGCACCGATAAATAGATTCATTCGTCCGCTAGGCTCATGAAGTTGTGCAATTCGATGGCGTTGCATCGGCGACGTTGTCGGGTCGACGCTCTCGAAGAAGGCAGGCGAACCCAGCTTTCGGGAATGAGCCATTGAATGTGCACCTACATAATCGTGCGAAAGGAGTTTCTCTCTCAGATCTTCGGGAAGTTCCTCAAAGGCAGTTCGTGAGTCGGCAAAGTCCGTGTTACCGCCGTGTCCCGGGGGTGGGAGCTCACAGGCGCGTAAAAGAGAGAACGATGCTCGCCGCGGGTTGAATGTTGAGTCCGCGTGGAAGAGCCCATTGCCCCTATTAGAGTGTGCCCGTGCACTCTCCGGATCGAGGATTCCACCAGTCTCGGCGTCTATATTCCCAGCGTCGAACAGTTCATAAAGCTCGTATCGGGGTTTCCGCCCTCCCATAAGATATCGTCGGATGTTGTCAAGCTCCCCAAAGCGCTCAGAGAATTTAACGTGGGCCATGTCATCTAAACCCGTGTTCCTGAAGACGCACACACCGTACTGACCGCAGATTTTAGTTATAGGTCTGTTAACTAAGGTTATGTATAACCATGTTAGATAAATATCCTATTTACCTTGGCCATAGCAGCAACTATCTCTCTAAACTGCTCGTCAGATAGATCTTGAAAGTTGACGCCACTGACTTCAGCACCGAATGTAGGATGCAACTCCTTGACTACGATAGTCTTGAAGGGCGACTCTTGGATAAGCCCAGGCATGTTGTCGTTATCGTTAGTTTTGCTGTTATATAGTTGATATCACATCTGTAGTCCCAAGACCCTAAGTTCAAAGACAGAGTCGAAAGTGCAACATCACGAGAGGAAGTATTTGAAACTTAAATAAGCCAATGGCAGTCCTCAATCGAATCAAATACCTGCCGAAGGTAGGTCACAGCCATGAGCAAGGAATCGTGCGGGGTATGCGACTGGCGGCAGAATCGCGCAGTCTCATGACAGCGATGTTCAAACCCGACTCCTTAAATATGCGTATTTGAATCCCGAAGGAAGGGCTTAAATAGCAGATCGCTATCCAAGTTGAGCGTTAGTCTGAAGCTAAGTAAGGACTTCAAGATGGAGATTGCGTCGGCAATTACTAAGTTATACTAACTGTTATATTCTACATAATTACCAACATTGGAGCACTATTACCATACTGTGGCTTCAACTTCTTGAACTATATCGTTATTACAAACTCTACTATATAAGATCTATCATTTGACTTAATATTCACAAGTTTCTTCCTATAGGTAGCGAGATGGTCTATTATGTTAAGTAGAGAGTATAGAGCTACAAACTAAAAAGAAAATACCCCAACAAGATAACGTTGCATCTCGAATAATTGCCTCACAAAACTAAATTTCGGGCATGGACGTAAATTAATTTAAAACTCTAGAAGCTCGAGGTATACCAATGTTTTGATCGGGAACTACTTATATAGCGTCTACGAACTATAACATTTCTATGAAAGAGAACACGCTTTCCGACCTTCGAAGTTTGGTGCCCCCCTTAATCAGGTATAGCAGTATATCTCATTAAATACATGGTCAACACATTTATTAAAATATTAATTTAATATTTGTTTAAATTATACTTTACATAAAAGTTATTAAGTATCACATCGTTCAGTTCATGAGAGAGAATAAAACCCCGAAACATCTGAACTATGTGCACATTATGAAGCTCGTTAGGAGTTATACCGGTCCCGAGTATATGGGTCTTAGGATTTAGTAAGTGGGATGACCTCGAGGCTATTGTGTAGCACCGCAGGGTTGTGCCAAATTCAACATGATTGATTCATTTATTCAAAAGAACTAAACTAGTAAGAAAGAATCGTTTCTTAATGTATGAATAGCACATGGGTGTATATGGTCACATATACAACCCACAACTTGTTTCATATAACAGTCTATAGAGGAAACTCATTAGGGAAATACCCACATAACGCACTGGTTCGACCCTAAACATGTCCTTACACACTAATAAGCACCATAAGCATTAAGCAATCTAATCCAATATGTTGCAACCGTTAGTTACTTACTCCCCATGACAGATAGGTATGGTGAAGTACGTCGTTGAGTATACGCCTTTAGATTCAGTATACGAGAAAGCCTGGTAGCTCTGCCCGTAGGCTTCCTGCTGTGCACTTAATCGATCACTTGTTAGTTTCCTTACATGATGGACATCCTATAGCTATATGCGCAAGGTATTGGGGAGGTAAAGAAACACTCACAAAACAGCCGTGGCTGCTTCATTAAATCGTCCCGTCTGGCCCCATTCGTGGCCCACCGCCTTCAATGCGGCATTGGTGTTTAGAAATGTTGTATCGGTGCGCTCGGCGTACTGGAATACGGGCACGTATACCTTGACATCAGGCATTTTCATCCCAGGAACCAGGTCGATACTGAACAGAAGACCCGAAAAGGACGTGCCAGGAGAACGATCCTGCTTTGATAAAGTGTCTATCTTGTCGTCTGAGATGCCGTCGGGCTCGTTCAGTAGCAAGTGCCAGATAGACCGCAAAAGGTTCACCTTCTTGAGTGTAGGTTCACCACTTAGACGCCCACCAAGGGTGATAACGTCTCGGGCTACGGCAAAAGTACAGGCCTCGAACTTGGCATATATCTTAAGGCGGCTGTCTTGGTTTGTCTTTGGGTCTAGACAGTCAATGCCTATCATTACCGGCTTGACCTTGACTTGGCAGCTGGCTAGATACCTGTTTTTATCACATGCCTTTGGTCAGTCATATAGACTTTCTGTGTACCCTTTAATGAGGATAATATAACAATACATACTCTTCAATCAGGTCCAGATTGTGCGATATGTCGTATCCTAGGGGTTCTAGGTCGCGGAGTGCATTCAAAGTGGTGTCCATCGGCGACTTTCCCAGGGTGGCTTTCTTCAACACCGGGAAGTAAGCCTTCAGGATTTGTCGGTGTCCTTCAAGATCGAACGCGACGCAAGCTGGCGGGATATGCATGCGCGGCCGGAATTTGTCACGTAAGGCTTCTGTCTCAGACGGCGACAGGAAGAAAGTTTCCATGAGGTGGTTCATCAACATGGGGTCGCCGCCTACAGCCGAACATAGACGGTGTAGCATTTCACGCGCATTGTTCTCGCCGAACGGGTCTGGGCCGGTTTCATCCCGTAGGAGGTCAAAACCGAAGCGTACTTTTGCCTTACCCCGTGTTGTTAGGTTGTGACTGATTTCAAAACGCGTTCCGGACAAGTTCGGGCTTGTCCAATAATCGACATTAGGCTCTACATATTGCGATCCAAGACAGGACGCAACGTGCTCGTCAAAGAATCGGAGATGAGAAGCCTGATCCGAAGCTGTATATGACCCAGCCAAACTCAGTAGCGGCCCCAGAGTGGACCGGGCATGTTTTGACCAAAACTGTTCATCTGGAGTTGTTGCCATCATTAATTTCTGCTTATAACTTCAGGGAGCAAGTGAGGGAAAATAGTGATTTCCGTATCCACGGGAGAAGACTCCTAAGACCTATCTAGGAATATGATAAGGCTAGAAGGATGAAGTGTTTATTACTCGGGGAGGATTAAGGAACAAACTAAGGGTTTCCATTGCGGTGAAGGGACCTATTATATACATTTTACGAAGGGGAATTAACGGGCATGGAAGTAATAACATGACTATGAGAAGAGTTTTTAAGTAAGTACTCTCGTTAACGATACACGGAATACATATTTTTTTTTTAAAAAAAAATCGAGTTTTCCAAAATATTTACCATTTTTTATAATTAATCTTAACATACTTCTTGACTTTTCACGTTTATTTACCTCATAAATCCTTACCCCTTTTCCGACACTAAAATTGTGCAGGTCTTTTAAATCACTGCGTTAGAGCTAGCAATTTCTATTGGCGGAAGCAGGATATATTATCAGTGGCTTAGAAGATGCATTCCGAATATCGTATGTGCCAACTACGGGATCATTCTTCTGGCTAAGGCTATAACTTTACCTAAGGAAGACATATCCGAGCTACTGAGCAAGAAGGGAGTGGAATGCAGCTCGCTTGCTATCACAGGCGTTACCTTCACGACCGACAAGCATAGGACTTATCAACTAGAGGCCAATTTCAGTCTCATTATAGAGGAGCAGTCCCACAAAGCTTGTCGGCGGATGGCTCAACTAGCAAATCGCTCTTAGGGTTACTGGGTGCGAAAATTCGTACCGGGATCTATAGACAAAAATGAGTTGTCTAGCTTAACTAAGACGGCGTTATTCTAACAACACGATCTTTGCACTGAGCACCATCTCATTTGGAAGAGCCAATGGGAATGGCTCTGAACGCCGCATATCCCTGGGGAGGTTTAAGAACGCTGATCATTCCCCCTCACCCGGTGTTAAATATACCAACCAACCAACAAACATATGCGGAGTACTGGTGCTTCGAGAATAAACAAGGTTGACAACGCCACAAGAATTATTGTGAGTCTCCTATTCCTTTAAGATGGCGTGATTAAGTCATGATGGAAGTAGCAATCGACTGAAGACTTTACCTACCTGTAACTACCTGCCAGTATAACGGCCACTTGCATAAGCTAGAAGCCACTATTGCGTTGTTTACTTTAAACCAAGATACTTATCAAGACAATGAAGTCAAATATAAAGTTAATATTAATCCAGATCAGATTAGGACAGGCTCAATCTTAACTAGAGCAGTCTATAAATCCTTAGATTGAGATAGGGGTTTCCTGGTTAGAAATTAGGTATTGAAGTAGAAAACTCAACTCGCATGGAATAGAATATTAGGTACTAGATATATCCAATGCATTAGCCATAACCTCACTTAGCCCATTCGGTTGTCGCAGATAGACGCTATACTGCCATAAATATACAGTTAATTGGCTTGAGCTACACTGATGTTCTGCGGTTCGCCGGCTGCAGTAACTAACACAGTCGGAATGATGCATACGGACTCCCCATCGCAGCCCAAGGACGTGTTATAGAGCACCAGTAACTTCCTATTACGTAATTATAATAAATACCAGTACTAATGTGTATCTGGACATGTAAGATCTAGATTCGTATAGTAGTTTAATCAGATACCCTTTATGGTAAGACTACCTACCTAAGTATTCATATAAGATGTTTGCCGAGACGATGACGGAGGGTCGATGACAGCTCCCTTGAGACGGTCCGATAGTAGTTAGGTTAAGTATAATATCGCAAAATGAGGCCGTAATTGCTAACTAGCAATTACGCCTTATACATGACACATGATTTTGCCTAAGCATAGCCGCCGTCATGCTCACATCGAGAAGCGGCGGTAACACGAAGGCCGCCCCCCTGATGCATCAACAACTCCTCGTCACATTTATGGAAAAGAGATATTCAGTCAGCTTATAACACCGAGAAAGCACTTTCCCGTCCCGGACTCACATGGACCAACATGGCCAACCTTGTCTATTATCACATCTTCGCTATCGTATCTTATATCTCGCAGATTTAGGTTGCGACCGCCGATATCTTTATCAAGCCATTCTATGACTCCATCTTCTCAACGGGCACAACATCGATAGATCTTATAACTATCACGCAGCACCTAAACGGTTTCCTAAGAGCCTCCGGCTACAAAAAGCTCATCCGTCTAACCGACATCCCAAAGAATCCCGCAGCTAGGGGTATCGCGTCTCGTGTCACCGCTTCCACAATAAAAGAAGAAGCACGAGCAGACCCCGTCGTGACGCTACAGAACCACGGGACCAAGAGGCTCGTGCGTACTCGCTTGGTGGGATGGTCGCGTTCAAGTCTGGTTGTGCGGCAGTTGTGTCAGGGTATAAAGGATATTAGTATAAATTAAGCATAGATTTATATAAAATAAATATATAAAAGGCATATAGCACTTCTCAAAAAAAAGTAAAAAGGTTAAACGTTAATAAATTTATATTATTATATAATTATTATATAATAATTTTATTATTATTTTTATTATTTATTTTGCCTTAAGTTTACTTAAGGTTTTGTGTCAAGAGATTTTTAGTATGCTAGAGGTAAAGCTTTATTAGCCTTACATCTCAGCCTTACGCTAGTTATTTCAACCTTACGCTAATAGGTTCTAAATTAATAAAAAATTAATTAAAAATTTTTTATAATATATTATTTATTTTTTAATATATTTTAATTATTTTATTATTATTTTATAATATTTTTAAAATATTTAATTAAATTTTTAAATTTATTTAAAATTATTCTATTATTCTATTTCTTCTAATACATTATAATTGTTTTTTCCCTTTCCTCTCTTTATTAATTCTTCTTTTTTCTTTTCTTTCTCTTTTTTCTTCCTTTTCTCCTCCCTTTTTCTTCCCCTCTCTTCTCCTCTTTCCCCCCCCTCCTCTCTCCTCTTTCTTTCCTCCCCTCCCCTCCCTCCCCTCTCTCTCTCTTTTTTTCCTTTTCTTCTCCCTTCTTCTTTCTTTTTTTCTTCTCTTTCTCCTCTTTCTCCTCTTTCTTCTTTCTTCTCCTTCTCCCTCTTCTTCTCCCCCTCCCTCTTCTCCTCCTTTTTCCTTCCCCTTCTCCCTCCTTCTCCTCCCCTTTCCTCCCCTTCCTTCCTTCCCCTCCCGTTTCTCTCCTTCCTCCCTCTTTTTTCCCCCCTCCCTCCCCTCCTTCTCCCCCTCCCTCTCCTTCCTGCCTCTCTTCCCTCTTTCCCCCTCCTCCTCCTCTCTTTTTCCTTTTTCTCTCCCTTTTCCCGCTTCCCTTCTTTCCCTCTCCCTTTTTTTTCCCCCCCTTTCTCCTTCTCTCCTCTTTCTTCTCCCTCCTCCCTCTCCTTTCCCTCCCCTCCCTTCTCCCTCTCTCTTTTCTTCTCTCCTTTCCTTCTCCTCTCCTCTTTTCTCTCCTTTTTCTCTCCTTTTTCCTTCTTCTTTCCCTCCGCTCTTTTTCTTCTTCCTTTCCTCTTCTTTTTTTCTTTTCTTTTTTCTCCTCCTTTTTTCCTTTCTTTCCTCTCCCTGCTCCCCCTTCTCTCTCTTCCTCCCCCTTTTTCCTTTCCCTCCCCCTTTCCTCCCTTCCTCCCTTCTTCTCCCCTTCCCCTCCTCTCCTCTCCTCCTCTCCCTTTTTTCCTTTCTTCCCTCTCCCTCCTCCCTTTTCTTTTTTTCCCCCCCCTCCCCCTCCTTCCCCTCCTCCTCTTTCCTTTCTTCTTTCTCCTCCCTCTCTTCCCCCTTCTTCTCCCCCCTTCCTCCCCTCCTTCCTCCCTCTCTCCCTCCCCCGCCTTCTCTTCTTCTGTTCTTCTCCTTTTTTTCCCTCCTTTCTTCCTTTTCCTTCCCCTTCCTTCCTCCCCCTCTCCCCCCTCTTCTTCCTCCCTTCCTCTTTTTCCTCCTCTCCCTCCTCCCGTCTTTCCCCTTTCCCCTCCCTTTTTCTTCCCCTCTCCCCTTCTTTTTTTTCCTTTTTTTCTCTCTCCCCTCCTTCTTCCTTTCCCCTTCTTTCTCTTCTTTTTCTCTTTTCTTCCCCCCCTCTCTCCCTCCTCTTTTTCCCTTTCTTTCCCCGTTTCTCTCCCCCGCTTTTTCCTCTTCCCCCTCCTCCTTTCTTCTTTTTCTCTTTTCCTTTTCTTTTCTCTTCTCTTCTCTTTCTTTTTCCTTTTCCTTTTCTTTTCTTTTCTTTTTTTCTCCTTCTTTCTCCTTTTCCTTCCCCCTTCTTCTCCTCCTCCCCCCTCCTCCTCCTCCCCCCTCCTCCCCCCGTCCCCTCCCCTCCCTCTCCTCCTCCCTCTCCTCCTCCCTCTCCCCCCTCCCCCCCTTCCCCCCCCTTCTTCTTCTTCCTCTCCTTTTCTTTTCTTCTTCCGGCTTCTTCCTCCCCTTCCTCTCTTTCCCTCTCTTTTCCCTCTTTTTCCTTCCCCTTCTCTTCCCTTTTCTCCTTTCTTTCCTCTCCTTCTTTCCCCTCTCCCCTTTCTCTTCCTCTTTTTCTTTTCCTTCCCCTTTTTCCCTCCTCTCTTTCCCCTTCCTCTCTCTCTCTTTTCCCCGCTCTTTCCCTCTCTCTCTCTCTTTCCTTCCCTCTTTCCTTCCCCTCCCTCTCCTTCTCCCCCCGCTTTTTCCCCCCTCTTCTTTCCCCTCGTTTTCTTCCCTCTCTTCCCTTTTCTCCTTTCTTTCCTTTCCTCCTTTCCTTTCTCTCCTTTCTCTTCTCCTTTCGTTCGTTTCCTTCCCCCCTTTTCCCCCTCCCTCTTCCTTTCCTGCCCCTTTTTCCTCTCCCCTTCTTTCCCTCTCTCTCCTCGTCCTCCCTTTTCCCCCCCTTCCGTCCTCTCCTTTTCCCTGCTTCTCTTTCCCTTCCCTTCCTTCTTCCTTTTTTCCCCTCCCCCTCTTTCCTCCCCCTTTCTCTTCTTCCCCCTTTTTCCTTCCCGCCCCCCTCCCCTCCCTCTTCTCTTTCCCACTCTCCCCTTCCCTCCTTCTCCTTCCTCTCTTCTCTCTCCTCTCCTTCTTC